TAGGGGGGAGAAATAACCTACAGATAACCGGGTGCATGCTCATTTGGGCAAAGACCTGATTTCTCTGCAGGGCAGCCTGGTTTGTGCCCTAAGCTGATTTAGCTATTAGTTGCTTGCCCACGAGCATTGACCACAAGACTCCCTGATTTATCTACAAATGCAAGCTTCTTCTTTATGCCCTTCTGGAATTCATTGCCACGGAGGCGGCCGAGGCAGAGAGCACAGCCAGGTTCAAAAAGGGTCCAGGCGGGTTTCTGGATGACGGGTCTATTAATAGCTGTTGAACAGAATGGCTGGAGATGGTTCCTTTGGCATCTCTAAACCCATCGTGGTGGATAATGGATAGATTGCTTTAGAAACATCCAGTTTGATGCTGTCCCTATACAGCATCCATTTCTGCCACTGCCAGAGACAGGATACTGGACTAAATGGACCATTGGTCTGATGCCGCTTATGTTGTTTGCCTGAGTTAGATTTTAATCGTCCATCTCCCTGCCTGCCAGGTCGTGCATACCCCAGATGCACCGGTTTTGTACGGAGGCAGACATGCACGACCACTCCTGTATATTTACCGGTTTCAACGTGTCAGAAAGCAGCTCTGAAACGGAGGAGCCGGGGTGGTCCTTCTCTTGTCCTCCATAAGGAAACAGCACAAGCTGTTGCACAGCCGAGCCCATTTGCCCGTCACTCAGCAGTGCAAAAGCAGCCTCCTGGCATGCAAGATCTAGGGGTCACAGCACGGGGAAGGATGGTTGCCAGCGTCTCAGCAGGTCGGCTCTCTTGCTACGTCCACATCCAAACTGCCAGGGACGTGCTGCATCCGCAGCCGGGTGAAAGGCGGGTGCTTTACCACCACGTGCAATGGATGAGGCTGTTCAGAAAAGCCAGAACCCGGCAACGGTGATGAAGTCTCCAGGGCAGATGAAGGGGCTGGAAACCCAACTGAAACTCCAGTAGCTGACCCTAACCCTAACCCTACCCCCAACCCTATCGCCTTAAGGAACGGCATCTCATTTAAAAAAAAAAAAAAGACCTGAAGTTGAACAGTAATTGGTGCCTTTAAACTCTTGCTGCGTGTGACTTCAGTTTTACCCCACACCTTAAGCTAGTAGAGAGAGAGAAAAAAAGGTCTAATGAGTATATCTTTACGCTGATTCAAAGCACTGTAGATAGATCCTGTCGCACGCTTTATAAGTTTCTGATTGATTGTGTGGAATTAAGTTATTGGGCAGAGAACCAGCTAATGGAAACACATTGATGAAATCATTTTTGAGGGACATTAAATGGAACTTAAAATAAAGCTGAAATGGCTTTATGGATTTTTCACTCAAATTGTTTATGAACATTTATCGCTGCTAAATTACACAGTGTCAAGGAGGCAGTCGGTACGTATGGGTTTTAATAGAAGTCTTTCTGAAATAATAATGCAGAAGTGAATAATTTATTACCCAGGGATGTACAGTACATTATGTTTAAACACAGATTATATGATTGTTGTCTGCTAACTCTATCGGGCTGCTCCTAGATGAATTAGGGCGGGCGACAGTAACTAGTCTCAAAAGGTGAGACCAAAAAAAAAATCTTTCCTCCCTTTTGCAGTGAAGCAGCCCTTTATGGCGTAAGTTTTTCACAGTGGATGTGAAATGTTTGAATAGCAGATCAATCGGGCTGTGAAAAAAACCATTTATCAGTACATTTCATTTAACTTTGCTATGGCTTAATGCTCAAGGGAAGAGAAGCCTGGCTGAGATGTCCCTGCCTGGGGAAAGAGGCTGGGTGCTGACATGTCTGCATATTTGCAGATTGTGCATTTACACTTGCAACAAAAATCAGCCGTGCTCACACTTAAAATAAAGAATGAAAACAAGAAGGCTGGACACGGGACTGGAAGGGGTCGTCCAGTCCCGTTGACTGCCGTCTCCAGCAAACCTGGCATCCGCCGCTGCCGTTCGTGAACTGCTCAACCTGCATTTTAGCCCTTGTTAAATGGCTGCCCTTCCCTCTTCTACTACACCTAGTTCAGGAGCCGCGCTCCCCCCAAGGGTCGGCAACCATCTTCTGATTTTCAGCCTGAATGTATTCACGGCCAGATCATACCCTTTTAGTCTCGTATCAACATTTTCCTTCAAGATGTATAGTTCTTTTTTCCTTTCCGGTGCTCATCCCTCGGACAGAGACACCAGCCGTGCGCCCTCTCACAACTGGACGCAGTCTTCCTGATGACGTCTCGCCGGTGTCTCTTGCAGTGGCATGAATGCTTCCCAAATGCCACTAGAAATATCTTACTATTTTGTTGTTTAAGGCCATTCCCATCCTTTTTCCCATCTACAGCCTAGTCTAGACCGAAGAAACAAGGAAACAGCCAGTTGTCACCAATTAATGATCTCTCTAAGGACAGTGAGTGACTCAGAGGATTCCTATGGAGATACAGGATTTTGACCCCCAAGTCATCCATCCACACCTAGCCCAGGCCAGAAGCATACCCAACTTTGACCCTGTTTGAGAGTCCACATGTCCCACGTGAAATGGGTTGGTGATCCCATTCTGGTTCCCGGTGCTCGGATGTCTGGGATGTAAGGAAAGTAGGGCTGACGCTATCGCAGCACCGCTCCAAGAGCAGGTCTTCAGCTGAAATGTCTGAGGATTGGAAGCAAATTGCTCCTCACTCATAAATTGAATAAAGACTGCTTAGAAAACATGGAGTTCAGTCCATCTTCCTCAGCACGTCCCTGGCCATTGCTGGGGGCTCGGAGGAGTGCAATTGACTTAACGTTTTTTTCCAAAAAGAATGAAATCACAAGTCAGAGCCACAGTCTCAACTCAGCGATGCGAGTGAAAAACAAGCCAGAATATTTATGCGTGCTGTGACAGTCCTCCGAATACTCCCGTCCCTCCCACCCCCAAAATCTTTGTTTTATTATTCAAATATGTGCAGGATGCTGCTTTGGCTAAGTTTCATTGCAGAGCTAATAACCAGAGCAATCGTGTGGGATAAACCAAGACTTAAACGATTTGGAAACAGTTCAGAGAGGACAAATCAGATAATAATAACCTTCATGGTTGGTAAGTCGCAGCTGCTTCTGACAACTTGTAACGATAACGGCTTATAGTAAAGTCAAGAGCTAAGTATCTGTATTGGGCCATAGGATCAATTTTAATTCCCAAAGTATAAAGCTTGAAACTTTAGATTATTCTGTATCATCTTTGAGTTCACTTTGTTTTTCTGGGTTAAAAAGCAGGAGTTTGGGTTTGGGGGAGTGGTTTTATTAGAAAGCTTCTATTAATTCCAGCCTTATCGTAACACAGTGAGTGGCGGCATAGCTCTTACACCGACATAACCCGCATCTCTCTCTTAAAGCCAGTGGGATTTCTCTGTTATAAAACTGGCTTAAATGAGAGGAAGGTTGTGCCACTACTTAGTTTCTGTGCAAGGGGTAGGGATGACAGCCTTGAAGTTTTGTGAACGTGTTGTGCATCAGCTCTGAAAATTATACATCTATAACCATACATTAGTTGTTCAAACCTGAGAGCATTGGCACAAAGCAATAATAACGCCGCGCTTGGTTTAAAGACTTAAGCGATAGGTCTCAAAATCTCATTTGTCTAGTGGCTCCCCTCTGGATCTTTTCTTCAGTGCTCTTGAAAATATAAATAATGGCTGGTAAAGTTTGTAAGGTGACGCTAAAATAAGGATCGGTCGGATTCACCGTTATCTCTGTTCTTCTACCACGTTGGGCTTCTTTGAACCTCATTGCCTTTTACTAGAGGTAAACATACAGTCAGAAATCTTGGACCAAATAACTTACCCGATAGACAAGTCTATACTGGAAAGCACTGCTCAGAAAAGGCTCAGATCTCAGGATCAATACCCTGGCCCTGAACTCCCAGATCGGTCCTTAAAGGAAAGGGGACTGTGTGACACTTAAATGTATATGCAGGTCAATACTAAGTAGTATGAAGGTGGTCTTACCTTGGTATGCAGCATGGGTGACTGGGATGGGATTACTGTAGCCAGCAGTGATGTCTGCACCTCCAAAAGGTGGGTGAAAAACTGGAATGGGTTTGGTTTTCAGTTAAGAGTAATGATGCAGCGGGATGGATGAATTTCCCAAAGGCTGCGGAGGAGTCTCCGTCACGCTGAGTGGTTACGTCAGGGTGCCGTGTCTTTCCACCAGAAAGATGCAGGAATGACTGGGTGCAATGCTTTGGCCTCTATTGTTATGCAGGAGGTCAGATGAGATGACCGAAACAGTCCCTTCAGGCCTTGAAACCTAGAAATCTGTTACTAATGCCTAGTCAGGTAAACACCTAGTGGGCTGCCCATCTGACAAAGCTTAAATGTGAGACAAGCACTGTCCTTGGCATGATCTAGTGGCTCCCCTCTGGATCTTTTCAGGCTCCAGAGCCTGGAGCAGGGGCAGGTCATGTTCTGGTCTCACCACAAAACCAGTGGCCAAGCTGGCACTCGGTTCAAGGCTTGCTTTCTTCATCGTGTGTCTTCCCCATGGGGCAGCACCCCCTTCAACTGGCCACGCAGCAGCTTTGCTTGCATTGCATGCCACTTGGAGTGGCTCCACGAAACCAGGTTGGCTTCTCTCCTTGGAGTCCAGCTCAGAAAGAAAACCTGTGAATAAGACACACGCCTCTATCTTAGTTAACAAAGCACGTGTTTGTATGTAGAGGCATTTATCCTTGGCAGTCGTTCCTATTTTCCAAACTGGCTGCTTTCATTGGAGCTGCAACATTTTTCCATGCCTAGAAGACAGGTCGTGGCCAATGCGAGCACCGTCCCCATGCAAGGTGCAATTGAGGCAGCCAGGTTTGCAAATTCAGCTCCACATCCCAGACCTGGATGCTTCTACGGACTGTGCAGGTGTGTGCAGGGCGACATGGGGGTCAGATGAGCTATAAATATTGCCACGTGTGATTTGCAAGTCACTCCCCTGCTGACAGTTTGTTCCATCTCCAACTTGTGTTCTGTTTTTGTTTTGTTATTTCAGGAGCAGAGGGCACAGTGTTCCCTAAATCCATAGAAACTCCCAATGTCAGGGCAGACCCCTTCAAGGAACTAAGGTAAACTTTGGACTATGGTTTAAACGTAACTCAGTGGCGCCTTGTTGGAATTTGGCATACTGATATGTGGTGTTTGCATCTCCGCACGCGCAGGCGGGGACTTCGCTTTGCAGTGCATGGAGCAGGGGAGATGATTCTGCCTTTCAGAGCTGCAACCCCTTCCCCGACATGGTAATTGTGTCTAGTAAGAGCTCAAGTGCCACATTCACTGAAACACCACCCACCAAAGCCTGTGTTTTGGGGGCACAGGCATCTCAGCTCCAGATGCCCTCGTACTAATGCAGAGCTCCACTTACTTCAGAAGATGCATGCTAGCCATGAGCAAGCCGCTGGAGGTCTGATATCTAGGATAAGGGGAACAAGCACCTCCTGGAATAGGAGATATTTTGGGTGAGGGGACTTATTTTAACTAACTCTTGCAGCCTCTTCCCCTTTCCCCCCAATAGTATGTGCTTATGATATGAATGGTAGGTGGGTAGAGTTGAGAAGGAGCACTTGGCCAACGCCGGGCATGCAGAAGGTAACAAAACTCACCACATTTCCCAACCTGGATCCCATTCGTTTCGGTAACTGAGGTTTCAGATGCAGTGAAAAAGATGGGTCCTGCCACTTGTCAGCTAGATGCTTTCCCACGCAGATGATGGGTGAAAACCCCAAGGTCTGTTATGGACTAAGTCGTTTTAATGCCTTCATCCAAGTAGACATGAAGTCAGCTCACTCTATAATTAACCCCTACTCAAAAACACGTCTCGTCACTAGACCTTTGGTGCCTGTCCTTGCTTCCTTGGGGAAGTTCACTGAGGAGGTGGTGTGAGATCAGGAGTTATGTCTACATGCCACAGACTTAGTTCATCCTTCTCAGCATGGCCCTGTGTGTATATTTACAGCACTGAGACAGGACATGGGACAAGTAGTTATTGGTAATGGTTTCCCCACCGATGTTGGAAGTAGTTATGGACCAGCCAGATCACAGGGCAAGTTCAGACGTGGCTTAGTACAGACAGACAAAAAGTCTGAACTGAATCGATTCAGTCTGCACAGGTTAGCCTAAGCTGCATAAATTGAACGGACAAGCAAGTGAACAGACATTCACTTTTGATCCCAGAAACTCAGCCACATGCCTGCAGTGGCCCAGACCTGAAGCCGGGAGGTGCTAGAGCACGCCTCCCTGCTCAACTGGGGTAGACAGCTTGGGCCAAGGCCTGCCAGGGGGGGGCAGGGTTTGCAGGGGAGCTGCAAAGCATCCTGGGATGCTGGGGGACTGTGAGTAAACTTGGATCTGGAGGGGATCTGGGTCAGAAGTTCAACAAACCAATTTAACCTAAATCAGTTCAGTCTGATAGTACATCCATCTGTTGGGTTACAGATTTGAACCAATATCCAATCACTTTATACCAGTTAATGCATAACTTCTGTCCCTAGCCCTTCTGAGTCTCTGTCACCTTCTTTCCTATTTCTTGGGACACATTCCAAGTTGTTTCCATTTTAAAAAATCAGATCACTAATATACCAGGGTGTTTTGCTTTAGTTCATTTGAGAAGCCCACTGTATTGCAGTCTGCGTTAGCATTCGCCATGCTGCCTCCCTCTTGAGAGAGGGTTGTTTTTTCCTAAAATGATGGAGAAGATGCAGCCCAGATCCAGGGGTGTTTTTCCCACCTTGCAACTACCGTCCGCGGCATCTGCGTGTCACCAGGAATGATATGTTCCAGGTGATTACACAAGCATCGTTCTCAGCAGACGGTCTGTCGTCTTCTGGCTGATAAATGGTCTTGGTTCATGCAGGCTAGTTCATTTATTAGTCACTGGCTGCTTTACAAGTACGTGGTCACCTTTCCGGAGAACAGTCGCTGTTTCGCTGTTGATCACCGCCCGCTTCTGGCTGGTCGCCTCGTTTGAATCTTCTCTTCAAATGTTTTTGGCGTGCGGTGGCCGAGATGGGGGGATTCAGGCAGCCGTATATTTGTAGTACGCACCTGAAGTGCCAGGGGCACAGCTGCAGCATTGAACCATTCACGTAGGGGAGATCCATATGCTCATCAGGATCACGTTGCTCCATGTTTGACCCCGTTTCTGAGCTATCGTGCTAGTTTTGACCCGTTTACACAGGCAGGAACGAGCTGCTCCTTTGCTGCAGCCAGGCTTCTCGGACAGGGGTCAATATAAATCCAGATCAGGCCAAAACCACGTGCGACTCTGTTGAACATGTCAGAGATCACGAAGAGTTTCTCTAGTGGAGGCCGGCGAGGGATGGCGCTAGTTAACGCGACATATTCGGCGAAGTGGCATCTTAAGCACTTAACAAGTCGAACTAGTTGAAAAATGCAAAACACGTAGTTGTAGATGCCTTCAAACAAACCAGCGCGGGCGCTGAACACGGTCTGGCCGCATTAGCATGGTACCACGCTCCTCTAATTAGCCCTGCTGTGTGCCGGCTGGATATAGCCTGAGAACAGAACGGCTTCTGTAGGAACAGGACCCCACCAAGATACCGGAGGCTAAGTCACTGCGTAGATGACATGCATGCATTTTCCTGGAGTATAAAAGGGGGAAAATAATAGTTTTTCCTTGATTCCTGAACCTTTCTTCCAGGCCAAACCAGTGAGCTACTGCTTAGGGCATTTTAGCAGCGGAGCAAAGAAAGAAGAAATCATGGAGTGATACAGAGGCCAGCACCTTTCACCCCCAAATATTATAAGGAAGAAAATTGCATTTAGTCACCGGCACAAGCCAACCAAACCAGAGTGCCCCTTCTCCCTTTACCAGTCGAGCACAGCAAAGGGGAAATACATTCCCTCAGGCCTGAAGGGATTTATTCTTTGACCAAAGTTAATTATGACCCACTAAAACTACCAAATGGCGGATGAAATGTGCTTACAGTATGATTTTATTAGTACAGTGCTGTCACATGTATAGTAGCAAGCTATCTAAATAGTCCAAGTGAGACCTATTGTACTAGACAGCCATTTAAATACAATGTTCAGCTAATGTAGCAATATTCATTTTGTAAAATAATAATTCTTGACAAATTAAGGTCTCTTTCATCTGCGTTTCGCTAAGCAGCGTAGACGCTTTCAATAAATGGGCATGCACGCTATCTCAGTCCAAAACCCATTACATTCATAAAGATTAATAAGATAAGAATGGGGAGAAATGAGGAAAATGAATGGGACTAAAAGAGGAAATAGCTGATGAAAAATGGAAGACTGTTACTAATGGGATTGCGTGCGATGCTGGGCCGTATTTTAGCGGTGCAGGGAAAAGAGGGGCCTACATCCCCAGCTGGTGTCAGTGATGGAGGGAGGGATTTGTACCAGTGGTGCAACTGGTCTATGTTGGTATCTGACTGGCTTATCCCAAAGGACCCAGTTCTGCTGTTAGTGACCCCAAGAGCAATGCTGAGAGCAGCACTGGGTGACAGCAGGCTTGGGCTCCCGGAGTGAACATTATCCCCTGCATCACAGTAACAAATGCTGGAGAGTTATTTCATATAACCAAGTCTGTTAACTAGGTACAAGCAAGCCAGGCCTGTCTACGTACACGTTGGGCTCTGCCAGCTTGAAGACCATGCGACACAGTGAGCACCACTAGAAGCCCCACAAGGAGTTTTAAAGGATACGGCCCTATTTCTTATGCACTGCCAAAGTCCTGATCCATCCCGGGATTAGTTATCTAGCAGCCCCCACCTCATCTGATCGCATCCTCATGGTAGTTACAACTGGCTGAGGCATTTTTGCTGTTGGACCGAGCTTTCCGGAGCCAGCTGAAGCTCCCTGTCGTTGAGGTGCGGCGTCTGGTAGCTCCCCAGAGCCCCCTTCCACCTCGTGAGATCTGCTGCAAAGCCTAGCCAAGGCAATAGGAGTCTTGCCCTACATTGCAGAGGGCCTTGTGCTCTATACAGTGTACTTCTGAGGTCAGGCTTGAGAGCAGTCGGGGCCAAACTTTTGGGCAGGCATGCCACAAATTAGCCCCACATCCCCCTCAATTGCTACTCCGATCCGTTTCCCCCCACCTGATCTGCTGCTCTGTTTTCTGCTCCCTATAGGCCACTGTGCTGCCTGCCCCCTCCCCAGTCTGACACATAGGGTGGTCGCCCTCCTTTACAGCATGAAGGCAATCTTGTTGTTTGGGTTTTTCTCTCTCTTACCATATTCCTACTGCACTCTCCTCCCTCCTGCAGCTGGCCAGGGGGCATCTCGCCCTGCCTCGTCATTACCTTCCCTACCACCCTGGGCTCTCCTTCTCAGCCCTGCTGTAGCTCTTGGTCTGCTGCTTTTTATTTTTTAGCAGTGGATGCACATGCTGAATCAAAGCCCTGGCTGGCAGAAACCAGTCAAGCACCGACCGCTCAAGTGTATAGAGCTTGCATTGAGTTGCACCAGTGAGGCTGCTGGTGCCACCCTGGCTAAATCAGGGCACCCATATCTTTCACGTGGATGTTGATCATGTCTGCACAGAAAGGTCAAACCTCCAGAGAGGGCTCCTAGGAGCAGCTCTCGATTGTGAAACACTGCCGGGCGAGACCTTCAGCGAGATGGTGCCAAGAATAGGCTTCTGGACAAGAGACGCTGGGGTGTCTCCTGGGCACCAGTTCTCCCATTTGCCCTTTGGCCACAGCCAAGGGTGGAGCCCTCTTTAAGAGCTGGATGTTAAACTAGCAAAATGTAATGATTGTTCGGCTGCAGCTGTAAAAGCTTCTTGATTTCTTGAAGCAGAACAGGAAGGATCCTAGAGCCGGCTCCAGTCCCAGGTATTTCAGACCACCACGTCACGTCCAGCTTCTTGCACAGCGAGGGAGGGTCTTTGCTCACATTACTCCACTTCCCTCCCATTGTGCATAGCTTGGCACTTCCCAACCTTATCATTTGTCCCATTGGTTATCATTAACCCTGAAGCCTCTCGATCATGCCCTGACCCAAGTTCCTTTACGCTATAAATTTGCAGAGGCGGTGAGGTTACCAACCCAGCAGGGAGTTTAGTACCGAGGTATCGAATCTGCCA